GACTCTGAGCATTTGGTCCATCTCACACCAGGAGGCTTTGGTTCAGCTTCAATATTTTTTGGATCAGAAGAAATGCATTGACGTTACTTTACTTCCTCCTTAGAAATGGATCTTTAGTCCATTTGGGAGCAGCTCTTATGGAAATTCTTTGCTTACGTAAGGACTGGGGTGGAAAAAAACCGACAACTTTTCCCATAATAGGAAAAATGGGAGGAAAAAAGTTATTCCAGGTCTTTCTCTAGAGGAAAAAAAAGCTTGTTACGTGGGAGCTGTCAGCTCGTATTACTTTGTTGCATCCTCTGATTCCATGAGAAGTGATATTGCTTGTTTTATGCAGAGCATAAATGATTGAGCACCACAGTTGGTGTTTTTAACACAACAGCCCTGCAGCCACCTCGCTAAGTGGTTCCTTGTGTGTGCCCTGGCCACTTGTGTGTGTCCTGGCCAAGGCAACACAGAGCAGAGAATCCCAAATTGGTGCCAGCACGTTGTTCAGCACCAACTGGAGGTACCAGTTGTGCTCTGGCAGCAGCAGAGCTCGGAGTGCTCGGGCAGGATGGGAGCTCCCCATGATTTCCCTGGATGTGGGCATTGCTAACGCAAATGTTTCTGCACCATGCTCAACTCAGATTGTTCTAGAACACAAAAAGTGCAGCAATGCGTGGTTGTTTTGTCGCTGTTTTTAATGGGATTGTGCTGTTGAAAGGGCACTAAGTGAGCCACGTACTTTAAGTGTCTTGAAATGAATCAGGTTGCGGTTGCACCCATAGCTTTGGTCTGCAGAGTTGAACAGAAGAGACCAAATGAAGAAATCCTCAAGGTATGTACTTCTTCTAGACCTGCAGATTGCTGAGACGACTCAGCTCGGGGATCATTCCCCATCAGTCTGCATATCTGACCAATATGGTCATAAACCATTACAATTATTTTTAAAGTGCACCAAAAAATAAACAAATTAAACCAACCCCCCTCCCAAGCCCCCCCCCAATAAAAAAAAAACAGCCAACCTTTTGCCTTCAAACCAGAAATTAAAAATGAAATGCTAAGAATTAAATATTTCCAGACAGAATGAAGTTACTCTCTGTTAGCACTATGTTTTAGTTGATATGGGGGTGTTTGGTCAAAGGTTGGGATCAGATCTTGGAGGTCTTTTCCAAGCTTAACAATTCCATGAAAAAATGATTAAGCTATTCATTTGGTTTGATGTGTTATTTCTTTTTTTTTTTTTTCATAGAGAAAAATGGTGTTAATAAGAACCTAATTAAAACATGCAGAAAGATATTTCTTTTACTATTTCCCATTGAAAAAGCACAGAAAATGAAACTTTTATAGAAGATTTTGGGGCATTTCAGTCCTATTTTATTCCCTCAAAAGTCTCTCTGCTGTGCTCAGCTTGAGGTGGATGGGGCATTAGCACGGCATGTAGAAATAAAAATTGATTTACTCAGTAGCATTCAGGACTTTTGAGTCTCCAAACACTTTCATATTCTATATTCAAAGCTTCCTCCTTGTCCTCTGTAAAAAGGTGAAAAGCTTTTTGGACAAAACCGAGGTTTGATACATTTGTTCCTGTGGCTCTTGGCTTCCTTCAGGCACAAGGGTGATGGGTCCTGTGGCTGCCCATCAAAACTTCAGTGACAGGCAAGAATGAACCAGCAATGGAGGCAGGAAATAGCCACATTTTAAACTCCTGGTGCCTGCTGATAGTGGAAATATTCCAACATATCCCTACATCTACATTTGGCTGATGATCTGGAAAAGTGTCAAACGTCCTTGACTTAATGAGATTTCCTCCTCATCTGTATTCAATGTGCCTGCTAATATCCATCCTCCTTATGAACTGAGGATGCCTTTGGGGGGCCCATATTCAAATAAATCCACTGCAAGTCTCCTGCTGGTTGAAATCAGAGTGGAACTGGGCTGCTGCTTCCCACGGGAGGCCGGGAGCAGCGGGGAGCCTGGCTCTGTGCCCGCATCCTGGAGGATCGTCAGCGCATGCAGCTGTAAACACAATGTCCTGGCTTGAAAAGAACGGGTGTCTGCTAAGGAAGGCAGGAGCCTCCCCTGAAATGGAAAATGCAAACCCCCTCCCTCTGAATTATTATAATTTTGAAATTAAGGAGCTCTCAGGCAAAGATATGGGAATAGGAATAACAGTTCTTTACTAGGGAAACTAAAAATAAAAATGAAATAGTACAAACATAGAAAAAAAACCCTAACTGAGTCAGAACATGCCCTGGCAGCCTGTGGGTCAGGGAGGTGGCAGCAGTCCCATCCCAGGGTGGCTCAGCCCTCCTGCAGTGCCAGCTGTGCTTCTGCTGGAGCAGGATCCTGCACAAGGGGGGAGTTTTCCTCTGGAGCTCCAGGGCTGGGGGAGATGGGCCTGGGCTCCTCTGGGGATGCAGTGGGGAAGAAAGCTGCTCCTCTGGGAATGCAGTGGGAAGAAAGCTGCTCCTCTGGGAATGCAGTGGGGAAGAAAGCTGCTCCTCTGGGAATGCAGTGGGGAAGAAAGCTGCTCCTCTGGGAATGCAGTGGGGAAGAAAGCTGCTCCTCTGGGAATGCAGTGGGAAGAAAGCTGCTCCTCTGGGAATGCAGTGGGAAGAAAGCTGCTCCTCTGGGAATGCAGTGGGCAAAGGCTGCTGTGCTGTTCCCAGGTCAGATTGTATTCAGGTAGGAATGCTCGGCTCCTCCCCTGGGCAGAGTATCTCCCCATGGGATGATGGAATTTTCTCAGCCATGCAGGGACACTCTCTGGCCATTAACAGAAGATAATTAATAATTAATGGCCCATGAACAGAAGAGATCTTCTGGAGGGAGGATTGGCTGTGGGAGAGATAAAGAAAAAACTGCCCAGTGAACAGCAGAGAACTGCCCCACCTCTAACAGATGGTGACGGAACACACACCCCCATTTCCAACCTAAAAGAAATGAGCATGGGCCCGTTGGCTTGGGGCTTTCATTGGCTTTTCATCTTCCCAGCAGATAGATAAACATGGGGCAGGGGCTGGGAGGGACTGCCTGTTCTACTCCAGTCCAGTCCAGGCAGAGAAATCTTTTTGGATCAAGGCAGCTGGGAGCAGCCGAACCCCTGCCAGATGCGCTGAGCTGCAGGACCCAGGTGACAGGAAAAGAGCTGATGTGTCTCTGCCAGCACCATTTTAAACTCTGGAAGAGAAACATCAAAATTCTTGGATCCTGTATGCCTGTATCCTGGCATTTGATATGCTTAGAATCATGAACCACTAATGTGGGAAAAGCCGTCCCAGCCCATGGAGTCCCAGCTGTGCCTGGTCCCCACCCTGTCCCCAGCCCATAGCACTCAGTGCCACCTCCAGGCCTTCCTTGCACACCTACAGGGAACTCCAAATCTCCCTAGACAGCCCCTGCCAAGGCCTGAGCACCCTTTCCATGGGGAAATTCCTGCTGCTGTCCCAGCTGAGCCTCTGCTGGCCCAGCCTGAGGCCGTTTCCCCTTGTCCCTGTTCCCTGGAGCAGAGCCCGACCCCCCGGCTGTCCCCTCCTGGCAGGGGGTATAGAAGGATTGCTCCTTTCCTAGGCCCTCTCCTCCTGCTATCTGCTTTCCAGAACTAATAAGGAATTACTGAAGGATGACAAATCCCACACGAATATTTGTGACTGGAGGTTCGCCCATTTCTTGTGTCCAAGTGTCTCCCTCCTCCCTCACCCAAAATCCAACAGCACAGAGTCCCTAGGCCAGCATTCTCTGTGCAGGAGCAGCAGGAGGGAAGTTTGATGACTTTTTACACACAGGGACCTCTAATTATACCAGTTTAGTATTTAGGATGTCTTTTCAAACCAGTGTACGACAGAACAGTGCAATCAAAAGTGGTTTTCTATCCCAATGAGACTGAAGCATTCATTTATTGCTCCCAAACAGACTAAAGCCTGTGGGTTTAGTGTCACATCTCGCACAGCTCGGCCCTGGAGCGCTGCTGCCGCGGCCGAGCGCAGCCCCTGGGGCCGCTGTGCGGGTGCATTTGAAGGGCTCGGACACAATGGCAGCGCCGTGTGTCTTTGTGCTCCAGGTCTGCGCTGCCCGTGCGGGCGGAGCGGGGCTGGCGGGAGCCGCGCTCCCCTCAGAGCCCCTGAGGGCGGCAGCGATGGCGGCGCCGCTCCCTCAGCGCCCGGCCCCGGCCCCGGCGGGCGGGGAGCCCTCGGCAGCGCCCGGCCGGCAGCGGGGAGCGAGCCCCGGCCCGGCCGCTGTGCCCGTGGCGCCGCAGAGGCGAGGGGAGAGCCGCAGGAGCCGCTGCCTCGGGCACTGCCCCGGGCCGGGGGCAGCAGCCGGGCCCGGCCCTGCGGCAGCGCAGGAGGCTCTGGCGGTGCCGCTTCTCCAGCTCGGCCCGGTGCCCGGGCACGGCCCCGGCCTTGGGGCTGCCCCTGCCCCGCTCAGCTGCCCGTGCCCTGCCCGGGCGCCGAGGCCGCGCTCGGTGCCCCCGGGTGCCGCTGCTGCGGGCAGGGCCGAGCCCCGGTGCCCGGGCACAGCCCTGAGGGACACCCCTGCTCCCCGGGCTGCCGCGGCTCCTGGAGCCGCTGCCCACGAGCCCCCGGCACGGCCGTGCGGCCAATTCCTCGTGCCCTGGGCAGCGCAGCCTGCAAAGCCGGGGCTCGGCACTGCGGGGCTGGGGCTGCCGTGGGCCAGCGGGGCCAAAGCCTCGCAGGGCTCGGGGCACAGCCGGGCCCGCCAGGACACCGCTCCGGGGATGCTCCCAGCCAGCTCCTGTCTGCTCCGCTGCTGTTGGGGTTCCGGGGTGGCCCTTTGTGATGTGGGACATGATGGTGGCCAGAGACCCTTGTGACATCAGGGAGTTCCACCCGGGCTGAGGGTCTCCAAGGGGCGCGGAGCCCTGGGGTGCCCAGTCCCAGGAGAGCCGCTCTCTGAGGAGGACGCAGCTCCCTGGTTCTGTCTGCGCCAGACGCCAACAGCGACAGACAACAGAGACGAGGACAAAGCCAACTCCAGCTCCCAGTCCATCCGACCCCTGCCCAGCTGGCTGGAAGCCCACAGTGGGCAGGTCAGTCCTACCACTGACAGAGACTGAGGAGGAGGAGAGGCTCTTTGCTGAAATGGACCGCAAGCTTTCCCGCGACAATGTCCAGAAGTTTTCCCAGACTTGTCGCCAGCTGGGACCCAGCCCTCCCAGCCCCAAGGGCACAGCGGTGGCAGCAGAGGCAGCACCTGCCCTGCTTAGCCCCTCTTCTGCCCCACAGAGCACCACGGAGCAGAACATCTACTGGGCGATCCTGAGTGAGGTGCTGCAGGATGTCCAGGAACTGAAGCAGCAGGTGATTGCCCTTCGACAGGTGTTGACTGTGAACGAATCTGTAGACACAGCCAAAAATGAAGAGAGCTCAGTGCTTTCCCCACACAGCACCCCCAGCCCCTTGCCTGCCCAGCTGAGTTCCCAAGCCCCCAGGGAGCAGCAGGAGGAGGGGGCAGCATCAGCATCTGTGCGGGCAGTGCAGGAGAGCGAGGATGGGACCTTGACTGGGGAGGACAAAGACTGGGAAGATGACATCGATTCAGAGCTCTCCCAGTGGGAAAATGAGGAACAGGCAGAGGTGTCCCACAGAGAAATGAACAACTCCCAAGAAGTGTCCCAGGGGCAAGAGTGCCCTGAGCAGGAGCCGTCCCACTTCTCTGATGAGAAGTCCTTCATGGATGTCACCAGGTGCTCAGACCTCTCAGACGGGAGAGAATGCATTGAGCAGGGGCTGTTAGGAGGAGAAGAAAGCAGCTGTGCAGACAAGGAAGAGTGGGATGAGGTGAGCCTCCTGGAGCTGCCCCCAGAAGACAGCAAAGACGAAAAACGGGAAGTTTTAGTGGCAGAGGGGCTCCCAGTGCCCGTCCCTCGGGAGGCCGGGGCTGAGTGCCCGGCACAGGAGCCGTGCAGCCAAGGGCCGGCGCCTGCCCCGCACAGCCCCCCCAGCCCCTGGCCTGCCCGGCTGGGAGCCCAGGCCCTCCGCGGGCAGCCGGCTGCCCCCGGGAAACGTCCCTCCCGCTTCAGGCGGGCGCTGCGGGCGCTGCGGGGGCTGTTCTGCTGTTCCTGCCTCAGGCCACGGACTGCAGAGTGAAACAGACACAGAAAAAAATAAAGAGGACAAAGATGACATGGCAGATGAAGAAGATGAAGACAGAGAAGAAGATGAAGACAAATAGGATGAAGAAGATGAAGAAGAGAAAAAAGAGGAAGAAGACAAAGATGAAGAGTAAAAAGACAAGACAGAGAACATTTATTTAAGAATAGATAGAAGAAGTATAATAATAAGAATTTAGTAATACTTAGAAGAAGAGTACTAGGAATAGGAATAGGAATTTCAAAATATGTAGAAGAAGAAGAATAGGAATAAGAATTTTAAAATATGTAGTAGAAGAAGAAAAATAAGAATAGGAATAGGAATAAGAATATAAAAATACATAGAAGTAGCAAAGAAGAAGAATAGTAAGAGTAGGAAGAAGAAGAAGAGCCATAAGAAGAATAAGAATAGAAAAATGAAGAGAAAATTGAAGGAATAAGTAAAATTAGCAAATAATTTTTTTTATTACATATTGTATATTTCTATTTCAATCCATGAAATAAAAACATTAGTATACATTATGTCGTAATTACAATATATTATCATGCCCCCACGCTGTTCCCGTTATTGAAGAATCTGTGTGTTTTCTAACAAGGTCTCACAGAACCCCAGAATCCCTGGGGCTGGAAAAGCTCTCCCAGCCCAGGGAGTCCCAGCTGGGCCCCATGCCCACCTTGTCCCCAGCCCAGAGCACTCAGTGCCACCTCCAGGCCTTCCCTGGCAGGGATGGGCACTCCAAACCCCCCTGGGCAGCCCCTGCCAAGGCCTCAGCACCCTTTCCATGGGGAAATTCCTGCTGCTGTCCCAGCTGAGCCTCTGCTGGCCCAGCCTGAGGCCATTTCCCCTTGTCCTGTCCCTGTTCCCTTGGAGCAGAGCCCGACCCCCCGGCTGTCCCCTCCTGGCAGGAGCTGTGCAGAGCCACAAGGTCCCCCCTGAGCCTCCTTTTCTCCAGGCTCAGCCCCTTCCCAGCTCCCTCAGGAATTCTCCAGCCCCTTCCCAGCTCCGTTCCCTGCCCTGGACACGCTCCAGCCCCTCCAGGTCTCTCCTGCAGGACCAGAACTGGGCACAGCCCTCGAGGGGCCTCTCAGAGCCAGCCCAGAGGGACAATCCCTGCCCTGCTCCTGCTGGACACACAATTCCTCATCCAGCCCAGCTGCCAGCGGCCTCTTGTCCCCCTGGGCACCCCTGGGCTTGTCACTTCCCCCATTGCACCAAATGCCCTTCTGGAAAATATTCATGGCAGTAAAAACAGCAGCTGGCATCAGCAGGAGCTCTCTGAAGAAAGCCCTGAAGGTATCAGAACATCAAGGTATCAGTGTGAGCACATCTTGCACAAAACTGTGACTCCATCTTAGTCCCCAGGGTGATTGGAGACTTTACTTCAGAAGATGAATTTAAGAGCTAAAATTCTTCCCTGTCTTCTGTCTCCTAGAAATCATCCCTCCTGAGAGAGACTCATTCTTTTCCACGTTACACTTTTCCTCATACCCAACCCCAGCTAACCCTTTAATGAGTCACACATAGCAATTAAGTCTCCCTTTTTGCCTCAAGTGAGTTAACAACTCCCTCACTCCTGCCTTTTCTAAGAACCCTTTTATCCTTTATTCCATTACTGTTTCGTTTAAATTGTCTGATTAACAGAATTGCAGTTTAACTCAGTAGAGTTTATCCCTCTCCTTGTTTTCAGGTTGAAACTTACTTTTCCTATCCAGAACCAAAGAAATTTTGACTGTTTGAATGTTTATCTTTTGGTTATTTACTTTTAGCCAGGTGAGCTCCATAGCTAAGAACAGTTAGGAGTTATGAACAAGGTGAGGTATTATTCCACCAAATAACACAGTTGAAAAACAAATAAAACCACCCTGAGCTGCCATTTGGGGCAAAAGAGAGAAAAGAGAGTCCAGAGGAGCTTTGTGCAACCAGATTTCCCATTTTTCCAGGTGGCTGGAGGGATGACACCCATCCCTGGCTTCCAGGTGGGCAGTAGGTCTCTTCTTGAATCCATTAATTCAGTGATTAGTGGTAAAATCACAAGATTTTGACACCCAACTCACTTTGGCAGCACAGCCAGGCTGGGTTTTTACTTGGGTTTTTATTTTGGGGGGTGTCTTTTTTTATTCTGAAGATATGAACAGCCAAGAATTGGGGGAAAAGGGGCAGCTGGACAGGCAAACTCTGCCAGCGCATTTTCCTGAGCAGGCTGAAAAACTCTCCCAGGGAAGGAAGCTTTATTTTTAAAGGAAGCAAAGGCAAAAAGAAGAAAAAAAAAAAAAAAACCAACACCATACAGCCTGCTCATAGTTTTAGTGCTAGTCAGGTTATTTTAGGTCACAGCAGTTGCTTAATGGGCTCTCTTGGTTGACTATGAAGCATTCCAGCAGGGAAAAGAGAGTGCTTTTCACCATTAATTTTCTCTGAGCTTGCCTGAGCCTCCCAGGGGAAAGCTCCCCTCCCTGCCCAGAATGAAAATGCCTTTGTAGGAAGTGCAGGAGCCCAGCACACCCTGCTCACACTGCTGGGGGGTCATGCAGAGCACCTCCCTGGGGAGGGGGGTTAGACTTTCCCAACTGTTCCTCCTTCTTCCACAGTGAGTGTTGTGCTCACTGGCTTCAGGATTTCAGGACAGAAGGTGCTAGAATGGACAAAAATGGCTCTATAACTATTTTCAGAGTTGGCAAGGGTCCTGCAAATTTCCCAGAAGGAATTTGGCATGGGAGAGTTTGGCACAGGGGCTCCACACCCTGCAGCACCCCCCTCCTTGCTCTGCCCTCCCAGATTAAGGATTTTCCCCTTCACAGGCACCTGCTTTTCAGGCCAGATGGTGGGCAAGGGGACAAGTGACAGGGAGCACCTGAGACAGAGCTGACTGTGGCACTTTCTTTTCTCTCTCAGGATTTTTTCATAGAGGAGCACAGAGGGAAGAAAGAGAAAACAATTTTTATTTCTGCTCCTTGTTTTGCCCATGTGGAATGTGTTTGGAGAATTTTTTACCTGGGGTGTTGCTTGGTTGGATTCTGGTGAGGATTGTTTGAGCCTCATGACCAATCCAACCCACCTGGGGCTGGACTCTGGAGAACAGAGTCAACAGTTGTTAGTTAAGATATAGTAGTTAGAAAAGCAGTAGTTTTAGTATCTCCTTGAAATAGTATATTAATGTATTATAGTATAGTTATAATAAAGCAATCATTCAGCCTTCTGAACTGGAGTCAGACATCAGCATTTCTGCCCACTGGGTTCACCTGCATTTACAATAGCTGACCAAACACAGCCACAGTGAGAGGGGACAGATTTCCCTCCTGTTGGAGCAGCCATTTGAGCATAAAATGCAGGCCTGTCTCCCTGCAAAGTGTTTGCAGGTATTTGTTCTGGTGGTGCTGCTGGAAACACACTCAGAATTTCTAGGCAGTGATTCTTTGAATTCTTTTTTTATTAATGGGGTATATGTGCACATGAAAAGATTTTGAAATCTCAGTGACTGAGCATGAGAGAAAACGATCCCTGCCCTTACCCATGGGACAGTAATGCCAACACCAGTTTCTCACAGAACCTAAACTAAAAAACTTGCTCTGAGAGAAATTGGCAAAGTCCCTGTTTTTACACTGGAACCATCAATATTTCATCCTCTGAGCTTGCCAGAAAGCACAACCCACCCCCTCCAGAGCTCAAACCTTTGGACTCTTATTTAATTGGAAGTGAGAAAGATAGGTGTTTCATAAAAAAATAGCACATAATGGTGAGAGAAATCCTCAACACAATGGCAAGAAAAGGTGGAAAACCTGAAGAAATGCTGTCATTAAGGCATCTTGTTATCACAGCAGTAATATGATTTTGGAATATTGCCCAAGCTCAGTCAAGCCACATCTTTGCACCTTTTCTTTGCACCTAAAGTTTTCCTGTATGCTTTCTTCAGAGGTTTCAGTCTCGGTGGGATAGCAAAATCACCTGATTCAACACTTTGCCAGAGAAAGCAGAAGTTTCAGGGCTATTTGTAGTGCAATGGATGCTTTGGGTGGCGTGGGGAGGGAAGTGAGCCTTGCAGCAGGGGCTCAGAAATAACGAGCACATATTGAAACATTTATTGCCATCATTTTTCCATCGCCTGTGGCTGATCCTGCAGATTTTCCCTGAAGAAAACACACAAACAGCTTGACAATCATCTCTCCTCCCACACCCTTCCAGGTCTCATCCATTCTCCCCATCCTGCCCTCAATTTTCAGAGGGTTGAAGAAACTCAGTGCAGCTGCCTCTGGATCCCAGGGAACATCTTCTCTTCATCTCTGCTGGCATCTCCAGCATCTCCTGCTCCCTCTCACACCCCAGGCTGAGCTCCTGCACCCCTGCTGTCCCTTCCTCTGGCACCCACCACCCTGCTTCTGTAAAACCAGAAAAGTGGGACCTGGGGCTCCCCTGTGGCCAAGTCTCAGTGCAAACCATTCCCAAAATTCCTGGAGCCTGAAGCACAGATAGCTCAGCTCTGATGGAGAAGGGTCTGTCCAGAGGCTGGAAATCAAACAGCCACCCTGCCTGCAGTGCCTGTTTGGCCAGCAGCTCCCAGCTCTCCCAAGCAAAGCACTCCTGGTTGATTGGAGAGGATAAATAGCCTGGCAACATTAAAGACCTCACCTCATTCCCAGGTGGGGGCAGGTTTGATGGAGCCCTCCCAGCTCTGGGCAGGTCCCACTGTCACCTCTGGTCTGCCTGGAGAGCCAGAGATGTGCAGGAAAAGGGGGAACTCACTGGGACTCTGGTGGATTTTAATAAAATTATACCAAAAAACACAAGGCAGGGACATTTCTTCTCGTGAAGAGAAGGATTAGAGAGCTGTAAGGTTCTGCTCTGTACCAGATTTGTCACCTCTATGCAATTACTCCAACATTAGTAATAGTAAAATTATTAATTAATAGTAAATTTCCATAAGGAAATTTAGATGAAATGTAACCTAAATCTATTTAAACTTTAAAACACTGAGCTCCTACCACCTGTTCTTCCTAAAGAACAAATTATATTTATGCCCCAAGGTCAGCAGCAAAGGGAAAGCTTAATTAAAGTTGATAGCAGACTACATAATCACACCTGAACCTACATACAAATAGATGAAGAAGCACCAGGAACCATTTATTTTATTCTGATATCCTTGCCTGAGCTCTAATAAGATTTTACTTTTAAAATGGCATCAGCTTCAGTTGCATTTCATCTTACACAGCACAGGAGGGAATGGATACCTTGGCAAGCTGCTCTCCACCAGCCACAAAAGCTCCTTCATTAGTCTCTGACATGTTGGGCCATAGCTCTTTGCACTTCTAATTAAAATATCATCTCTGAAGGTGAACCC